GATGTGCACCACTACCGCATGGTTTCTATGGCAGATTAGTGTGGCTACTGGGATTAAAGGTGTGTGTCACCACTGTCTGGTTTGTAAGGCTGATCAGTGCAGCTGGTTTACTCTCTGAACTTCAGACAAGCTTTATTTACTAAAATACAAATGAAATGCCACTACACACGTGGGTGATTCTTACACTACCAAGTTCAGCTGCCAGCAGGAAGTACAATGCTGGCTGCCTCTGGACCCCAGCTTCTGTGTGCTGACCCTGAGGACACACTTCCCAGATGATTTAATCTCGACGATGCTGGTCTCTTCTTCGACTCCGGCTCACCAGCATCCATTGTCCCAGCAAAACAAAGGTTTAACTTTAGTGGTTTGTGTCTCCTGTTGATCACAGCTACTTCACTTGCTCCAGCTACATGACCCACAGATGACCCAGCATTCTCTTTGCTTCCCTCTGAAACTTCACAAGCAGGCCTCCATCATCATCCGCCCTGCCCTGCAGGCCTCCATCATCCGCTCTGCCCTCTGCATTCTTATCTTCCCATCTCCTCAGAACAGCTCACTGAACTCTCAACGCTCAGTGGCTGTTCTAGTCCAAAGTTCCAGATTCCTTCCGCAGTCCTCCCCAAAGCAGCAGGTCAGGTCTGTCACAGCAATGCCAGGAAATATCCTGCTGCCAACTTGTCTTAGAGTTTCTATTGTTGTGATGAAACAGCATGAATGGAGAAATTTGGGGAGAAAAAGGTCTATTCCACTCACACTTCCATATCACTCACTGCCCATCACTGAAGGAAGTCAGGACAGAAGCCTAAGCAGGGCAGGAGCCTGGAGGCAGGAGCAGATGCAGAGGCCGTGGAGGGTGCTGCTTACTGGTTTGCCCTTTGTGGCTTACTCAGCCTGCTTGTTGTTGTTGTTGTTGTTTGGTTTGTTTTTTGATTTTTGGTTGCTTTGTTTTCGGTTTTTGGTTTTTTGAGACAGGGTTTCTCTGTATAACAGCCTTGCTGTCCTAGAACTTGCTTTGCAGACGAGGCTGGCCTCAAACTCACAGAGATCTGCCTGCCTCTGCTTCCAGAATACTGGGATTGAAGGCATGCGCCACCACCACCTGGTTTGTAGCTGTATCTTAAGGAGGCACTTCCTCAATCGAGGTTCCCTCATTTCAGATAACTCTAGATTACATCAAATTGACATAAAACCAGCCAGCACAGGGCATAAGAGCTCCACAGGAACTGGGCTAAAGGTCACCTGTGTGGCATGAAGGTGAAGAGCCTGGTTGTATGTTGCCCGTGTCCTGAGAACAGAGTTGTGGCAGGGCTGATGCTCCCGTCTGCGTCTGTAGTGAGAGGGACAGGAGAAGTGAGGTGTGGAGCCATCCAAAGGGTCAAGCCTGTCAGAAACCACCTGTTTCACACAGGATAGCAGGGAAGGCGCAGTGAGAGAAGAGCCCACCCGGAAAGCTTTTTGAAGACAGCTTGGACTAAGAATGGCCTGAGGAGACTCCTTGTAGTGAAGGGGGTCCAAGAGGCTTGTGTGAAGATCCCCACCAGCCTCTGAGGCCCGGCCACATGAGGCAGCTCAGAGACTCTGCAGAGAAGGGCCCACGAGGCCAGTGCGTGAAGCTGTGAAGACGGAGATGACATCGTGATGGAGACCGCAGGACACTGGAAGTGCCAGGACCATGGGGCGTCCACCAGGAAAGCTGCAGCCATAGAGGAGAGCCAGACCTCTATGACAGACAGACAGAGGCTGCGGTGCCGCGTGAGGTAGATAGAACTAGAGAGAGGGACACCCAAGCCCTTCGGGGCCCTGTTTATTCCATTGTGAGCCCCAGATGTCTGACATGAAGTTGAAGGATCGGGTTTCTGTCCTGCTTTGGTCTTGTCTTTTCTTGGGGTGCCCTCATGTTTTCTGTTTGGAATGAGAACATTCACTCTGTCGTTGTATGCTAGACATATAGAATTTACCTTTTGACCTTACAGTGGCTCACAGTTAAGGGACTACTAAAAGACCTCGGGGACTTTTGAAGTTGGGGTGGATGCATGAGGTGGCTGCGGGCCTGTATATGAGAACCAAGGATGGAGTGTTAGGGTGCGACTGTGAGATGGCCCCCACAGAGTCGTGTTTGACTACCTGCTCCCCAACTGCTATTTTGGAAGGTTGTGGAGCCTTTATGAAGAGAAACATCCCGGGAGGAAGTTAGTCACTGAGTGTGAGTTTGGAGATTTTTATGGTCAGCCCCATTTCCTGTCCACACTGTGCTTTCTGAGTGTAAACGCAGTGTGACCAGATGATACATGCTTCCGCTGCCATGCTTCCTAGTCAGGATGGACTGTGTCCCGTCTTAACCTATGAGACAGAAGGGCACCTAGCATAAGTATCTTCCTGTCAGGATGCGAACACAGCAACAAAAAGCTAACACATTGCGAAAGGCCAGAGGCAGATCTGGGACCTCGAAGAGTCTACTGCGGAAGATGTTTGACAAACAGGAAGTGGTCAAGACCCAACTCTGGACCTCACTGGAGAAGAGACTAAGAAACAGGGCTGTTCTGTGGCTGTTTCGCGTACAGCCCGGCACTATTACCAGCTGCTTTCTGAGTACCTTAAAGCCGCACGCACTTGCACTTGCCTCTCTGAAATCAGCAGGCTGGTGCACGAATCTAAATGAGTGCATACGCTTTAGCCGTTTCCATGTTTGCTGCCTTGCAAATGTCCCTTGGACCACCTTTCAAGGGCGTGATATCTACATAAGGGTCCAACACTTGTCTGGTAGGGATAAAGGAAAACGGGATGGCTGGATCATCATGTCTTCCTGTGCACACCGGGGAAGGCAAACTCCAGCTGCACAGTGACGAACCTCATCAAAGGCGGTTTTCCTACTCCCAGGCTCCACAACTGACTGGGGTAAGAAGCCCAAACACTGCCCTCTGCTGGCAATGGGAGAACTCTATTCTGCAGAGCAACCCCGACAGATGGAAATTTTCAGTGTACAGACCTCCTCTCACTCTGGACCACATGACTTACCACGACCTCCACCGAGTTGTCTGCATCCTTGTTGAAGAGGCAATGCAGCCACAAGATCCAGAGTTCAAAGGCACAAACAGACTTCTGTAAGGATCACCCAACCCCGCCCTGCCACACCAAGACAGCTGCTTCACACCTTCCCTCCCAAAGGCGTCGCCATCCATATTACTCTCTTCCTTGGCTTCCAGAGTGCTTCTAAAACCTCCAGAACCACAAGACAGGTGGTTCATTTACCAAAATAAAGGACCCCAGACCAACACGTTTCACATTGGTTTTGTTAGACACTTAATACATGAAATTACTAATACACTTAATACATGATAATTACTACCAAGGAATATCTAATACATGACATAATGTATTGCAGGGTTTCCCACAGAAGACAGACAGTGCCTTCTTAAGAAGGAAAGCTGGCCATCTGATCAGACTGTGTCATGTTTGTGATGATGTGAGAATTCGCAGTGCCTCCAGTAAGAGCCGTGAGACCCAACCCCATGATGTCACTTGTAAATGTTTGATCCCATCTTCTGATATAGAACTGAGCCAGACACACTTCTTGGAGACAGGGACCTGTGGCTTTCTCAGAGAATGTTGTGACCTGCTCCTTACGAGCCCAGGCTCAGCACAGACAGGCTTTCCCTGAGCCCTAGATCTGATCTCCTGTGACCTGGGCATATGGAACTTCTAATTGAGCCTCAGTTTCTCTGTCTGCAAAATAGAAACAATCAACTAAAGTGGGAGGTAGTTTGAACGCTTGTCCTGTCACAAGAGGCATTGCTACTCCGAAGCTGCTGTTTGCAGCTGTTCAGTGGGGCTGCTGCGGTGAAGGCTGAGGAGGAACGGGGAGGCTGTGAGGAGGGAGAGCCCCTGGGATGGAACTGCGAGTGCACCTGGGGAGCGCCAGACCAGACCTGACGCTGTGGTTCATCCCAGGTGCAGGATGCTGAAGTGCCAGTCGGTTAACCAGTAATGTTCAGGTCCAAGAAAAATGGGGACGCAGCAACAGGAGCCCCAGAAGAATATCAGAGCAATCATGCTTCCCATAGGCGTCCAGGAACCAGGTGATGGGGCCCATTCCAGGAATGATCTAGTCAGATTTAGAGTCCTGCCCTAGTTTGGGTTTCTATTGCTATGGTGAAGCACTGTGACCAAAAGCAAGTTGAGGAAGAGAGGGTTGATTTGGCATATGCTCTTATATCCACAGCCTCTCATTGAAGGAAGTCATGACAGGAACTCAAGCAGGGCAAGAACCTGAAGGCAGGAGCTGATGCAGAGATTGTGGAGGGAAGCTGCTCACTGGTTTGGGTTCTTTGCTGCTCAGTTCTGACTTCTGAAAGCACCCGGATGAGGGTGGACACAGCACACAGGGAATTGGATGGAGATGGCAGGAGGATGGTTGTTGCAGGATGCCTGGTCATGTGACACTGATCCCAGTACCTCGCCTGGTACTTTAGTGACTTTAGGGCGATTTCAGTCACCAGTTTCCCCAGCACCACCCCATGCCAGCCTGTCCTAACAGTGGCTCTCAGGCTGCCTTGCATATGTCTTAGGATGGGTTCCTGGATTCTTGATCCCTGTTTCCAAGTAGCCAGGGGCCCACTGCATCCCACTGTCCTGGATTTGTGGAGTTACCACTTTCCCCTGCACACAGTATGTGTTCAGTGACAAGAAGGAGAGAGGCAGGCAAAGTCTCTTGGACAGACTTCTTGAGCCCCAAACACATCAAGAGTTCCTGAAGTGAGCATGTGACACTGTACAGTCCTGCCTGAAGTGGACCTCAAGTCAGAGGTGCAGAGAGTAGCAGGGTGCAGGCTGACTTCACTCCATGACCCCTTAGCAATCCGCACAGAGCAGCCACGTCTTCAAGGGTGCAAGCAGCTCTCATTTCAAGTCCCCCACAGTTATTTGCTCTACATAAAAGGAAGGAACTGTGTGCTTGGGTAATAATAAACAGACTTTTATTTTGAACAAATCACAGGCAGGCTTTTATTTTTTCAATAACATTGTTTAGGAACAAAACATTTCACATGCAAGTTAAATCTGCAACCCAAAGGTACACTCAGCAATTCATTTTCAGCACTTTTAAATGAGTTTCAGTAAAAGTTAAAATTCTGCAATGAAATACTGAGACTTTTTGCCTGCAACAGTGCCCGGGACTCAGAGAGCTGGCTATATTTGTCACACAGGATCACAGGCCCAAACCTGGGACCGCATGCCACCTCACGACCCTCAGCTCTGCAGACCAGTTCAGCCACACACAGATACAAAGAACCCAACTCCCCGGATAGCACCCTGCACCCACCCACCTAAGACACCAACCTACTCCTGTGAAATGGGGTGGCTGGGAAGGTGATGACGTCCACACTAGAGCAGGAATTGGGCACCGAAGTCTATACTACAACAGGGAACTTGTCATGGAAGGGATGGGGGCTAAAGAACCAGGCTTCCTGAATGTGGGGAAGCTTTTGGTTAGGACAGCCCTTCGGGTTACAGTGAGGGGGCCAAGCCTGAGAGACAGGCCAGGCCAGGACCCCCCTGCCCCTCTGAGAAGTTCAGTCCTCCATCCCCCTTGCTGCTTCTGTCCTCTGCATTAGCTGAAAGCATCTTCATTCCTTGTGTGCTACCCTCAACATCAGCTCCAGTCTGCTTCCTGGGACACGGCAGCCATTACTTAGGATTGGTTCCTGGCCTGGCACCCAGTAGACGGCCCTGGATTGGGTGTGGAGCCTGTGGTTTGGGGGGTCGGTACTCCTGCTTCTGCAGGCGCTCCCTCCCCCGGGCCAGGGCCTCCAGGTACCACTGCTGCTCCTTCCACTGCTGCTTTCGCTGCTCCAGCTTCTTCCTCCTGGCTTCCAGCTCACAGAATTCGTCATCCAGCTGCCGGAGCTGTGTTCGCAGTTCCCTGTTCTCAGCATTGACACCCTGGCAGAAGACTCTGTGAGCCTGTTTGGCCACAGTCTCCAAGGCCTTGGCCTTCTTCCTCAGCTCTCTGGTGATGTTTTCTCCAGACTCCAGCAGGTTCAGCTTTTCCACCTGCTTCTCTAGGGCGGCCCTTTCCTTCAGGAACTGGAAGTGTGCCTTTCGGTCCATCAAGGGGATATCAGCTACTATGTTGGCTTTCTCCTGCACTAAGGCCTCTTTCTCCTGGTCCTGGCTCTCCTTTATCTGTGCAATGGGCTCCAGAGCCTTAAGCTTCTTCCTCAAGCTGACCTCCAGCTTCTTGCCCTGCATCAGTTGCTTCTGGAGGTCTGCAGAACGGGAGGTGAAGGTGCAGACCAGCTCTCGCCTCCTGTCCTCGATCTCCTGACACTGCTGGATGTAATCTTTCCACAGGAAGTCATACTTTTCCTGGACTCTCTGGTTTCTCTTCTTCAGGTACTCCAAGAAGGGCTTGTTTTCTTCTTCCTCGAATGTCTTCTCATCCTGCAGCTCCCTAGTGTCCCTCAGCAGCACTGCCCTCCGGAACTTAACAGCTTCTATCTTCTGATCCAGCTGGTTCATGGCCACCAGGGTCTTCTTCCTCACCCTCTTCTCCAACCGTGTCATTGACTCTGGCTTCAGATAGCTGTTGAGAATGGTCAAATGCGGGGACACTGTAAGGGGGTCCAGGAAGCAGGTCGTAGATCCTTGGGAATCCTGGAAGTCACTGTGGCTGCTATTCTGCTGTTTGAGGCTGATGCTGGCTCCTGAGGAACGGGAGCATAAGTCATCGGCCTTCTTGTCAAGGGAATGCAGCTCAAATTGGGGCAGGTCCTCTCTCTGTGCTCTCTGTTCCCTGGAGACTATCTCTGGCCATCTCACCCTGAAGTCGACCACAGCCCTCTTCCTGGTAAGTAGAGGCCTATACCGCCTTTCACGGGGCGTCAAGAAATCAGTATCATTCTCAGTTGGGAGTGCAGAGGACCCCAAAGCCCTGGTCCCTTCTCTCTGGGAAAAGATGGTGGCACGCCTGCCTCTAGTGTTCCAGCTGGGGTAACCTTGACCTTGGGACTCCATAGTCCCTTCACCTCCTGGGGTCTAGGAGTACTCCTTCAATGATCCCAGTCATCCATTCTCTGGGTCCCTCAATTATCACCTTCCCTACATTGCCCCACCTCTGGCACAGCCTTTGTCCAAGTCTTGGAACCAAATGGGTTCTCTACACAATGAGGGTTCAGAATGTGGAATGCCCTGGGAGTCTTTAGTGCTTATGCTTGCTATGGCCTAGGTGAGTTTCAGGGAAAGAGGGCTTCTTCTGCTGGAGGAAGGGGAAGGACCTGCTGGGAGAGGGCGTGGCCTGGAGAGGGCGTGACATGTGGGCGGGTCCTTATGGCGGCGGGCGGGGTTTATAGGGTGGGGCCTTATTGGGAGGGCGGGGCCTGTGGAGGGAAAGACGCGTATAGGTTAATGGAAGAAAAATGGCAGCGGTTCGGCGCCCGTGGCAGGCAACACCTGAGCTTTCTCAGTCGTGCACGTCTATTGTGTCGCTAGGTGCCAGGAAGACCCTTTGCACTGTGACCTATCCTCTGCCGGTTGGACAGGAGTCCTGGGAGGGAGGGAAAGGTGCCAAGGGCCCAGAGGCCCCCAGGCTTCTGACTTCGCTTTGCAGTATGGTGCAATCTGGGTCTGTTCTGCCGGCTTCGGACTCCCTCCAAGCTGGCTGTGTTCCCAGTGGCATGGGAGTCCTGATGCCATAGCTGTGGAAGGGTGGGGCTTGCACAGCAAGCTACCTCAGTTTCCCAGGAAGTGGGAATTCCCAGGATTGCGCCCTGTGCAACCACCTCTGTACCGCGGTTACAGTGAAGTAAAGTAGTGAAGACCCAGAGTGTGGAGCGCTCTAGAGAGGACGTGAAGGAAGACCTCCCACCAGCGGAGCAGCTGCCAGAGCAGAGGCCCCAGCAAGGCCACTGCGCTGATTGGCTCTCCCTGCTTTGAAGGACAGCTGAGGAACTTCCCCTTGGCTTGTGACACAGGTTTCCTGCCTCCTGGCAAGGAGGCCCCGGGGAGCATCAGCAGGAAGCACCACTCTCTCTTAGAGTCTTGGGAGGAGGCTTCTGGGATAGGCCATGTGTGGTTGATGCTCTTCTCTGTGCTCCACTGACCTCATCGCCTCCCCTGCTCCCGGCTTTTGGGTCTCAGTTCAGCACTGCTGTGTACTGTTCTGTGTGCAGACACAGACTAGATGCCTGGGAAACGGTCGTGAAAAGGAGGAAGGAGAGTGAACGACAAGGAGGAGAAGCCGCAGGGACAGTAAGGACACTCCCCACACCTTTAATTCCAACATTGGAATGGTGGTGGCAGAGGCGGGCAGATCCCTGGGAGTTTGCTGTCAGCCTGATCTATAGAGCTAGTTCCAGGGTAACACAGTGAGACCTGATCCCAAAGAAAGAAAGGAAGGAAGGAACCTGGCACACTGTCTTTCAGTGATGGAAGCAAGCACAGGCTTCTGTGACCTCTGACCTCCCCACGGCAGCATCAACCATTACCTCAATGTCACTTTAGATCTGGAATAGTGGCCCTTCCAGTACTGTTCTCTTTGCTCAGGGCCGCTTTCGCTATCTGGGGTCTTTTGGGGTTCCATATAAATTTTAGGATTTTTGTTTCTATTTCTGTGATGACTGTCAAGGGAATTTTGGTTGAGATTGCATGGAATCTGTAAAATTTTTTGGTAGAGTGGTCATTTTCACAAAATTAATTCAAATACTATGCATGGGATGTCTTTTTCTACTATTTTCCTTGATCTCTTCTACCGGAGATAGAAAGTTCACTATAGAACTTCAACTTCTTAACTAGGTTTATCTCTAGATATTTTTGAGGCTGTTTGCAAATGGGACTCTTTCCATGATTTCTTCCTCAAAATCATTGTTATCAGCATATAGGAAGGCCTATTGACTTTCAGTGTTGATTCTGTACCCTGTCACTTTGCGGAAAGTACTCATTTCTTTCAGCTTCTAGAAGCTTTCTGGTGCAGTGTTTGGGTTCTTGTATGTATAATACCAGAACATCCAGAAATAGGGATATTTGACTTTTGCTGTTTGTATCCCTTTAATTTCCTTCTCTGTCTTATTGCTCTGGTTGGTAGTTTAAGCACTATATTGAAAAGATTGGACATAGTGGACATCCCTGTGTCATTCCTGCTTTAGTGAAATTACTTAGAGTTTTTCCTCCGTCTAGGATGACGCTAGCAGTGGTTTGGCATACATAGATTTATCTACTCTCTCCAGGACTTTATCATGAAGGCATGTTGGGTTTTATCAAAGTTCTCTTCTACATCTATCTAGATGATCATATGAGTTTTGTATTTAAGCACATTTGATTGATTTATTACATTGATTGATCTATGTCTCTTGAGTAATTCCTATATCTCTAGGACTAAGCCAACTTGATCGTGGTGGATGATGTTTTTTATATATGCCTATATTCAGTTTGAATATATTTTATTGAGGACTTTTATATCTGTGTTCATCAGGAATATTGGCCTGTAGTTTTTTCTATTTTTTTGTGCCTCTTTTTATATTTAGAATGATGCTGACTTCATAGAGGGAGTTTGCGGGCGTATGCCTGGTTTTGGTTTGGTTGTTTGTTTGTTTTGTTGTTGCTGCTGTTGTTGTTTTAACTTAAGAAGTATTGCTCACAGACCCTCTCTGAACATCTGGTAAAAATCCACTGTGAATTCATCTGGGCCTGGACATTTTTACCCAGAAGGCATTTCATAACTGTCTACCTCCTCTTCTGTTACAGTTCTGTTTAGGTTGTTGATCTCTTCTTGGCTTGACTTTGGTAGTTTGAATGAACACAGAAATTCATTCACTTCTTGTGTATTTTCTAACTCAGTGGAGTATGGGTTTTTAGTGTATCCTCTCATAGAAATTTGTATTTCTTTGGTGAACTGTTGTAATGTTTCCCTGTTCATTTCTGCTTCTGCTAATTCATGGCCTCTCTTTCGGTTGATTGGTTGGTTGGGTCAAGGGTCTGTCAACCTTGTTTATTTTCTCAAAGTACCAGCTCTTAGAGTCATTGATTCTTTATAACTGTTTTCTTTGCCTCTGTTTCATTCATTTCTGTTCTGATTTCTTTTTAATTATTTCTTCCCATATCCTAGATTTAGGTTTGGTTTGTTCCCATTTTTCCAAATTCTTTATTCATGCTCTTTAGGGTTGTTTTAGTGTAAGCACGTGGAGCTAAAACCTTCCCTGCTGAGACTGTTTTCAGGGTGTCCCAGAAGGCCGTGTCGCGCTGTCTTTTCATTTCCATTTAATTCCAGGAAGTTTTAAAGTCTTTTGATTTCTTCTTCAACCCATTCATCATGCAGTGATGTGTTGTTTAATCTCCACAAGATTTTGCATTCCTAGAGATTCCTTGCTGTTGATTTTAAGCTTTAGAGCACTGTGGTCAGAGAGAATAGGCAGCGTTATTGCAGCTTTCCTCAGTTTGTTAAGATGTGTTTTCTATGCCATGATGTGGTCTATTTTAGAGAGGCTTCTGTTGCCTGTGAGTAGAATGCATGTTCTCCAGGGTTTAAGTGGGGTACTCTGGAGATAACTGCGGGTCTACCTGATTATGATGTCATTTAATTCTGATATTTCTCTGTGTATATTTTGTTCAGATATCCTGTCTATTGCAGAAAGTGGTCTATTAATTGCTTATTTATTAATTATTGAGTTGGAGATAATCTGTGTCTTTCAGCCCAGTAGTACACTTTCTTTGAAATTAAGTGCATATATGTTTAGGGTGGTAATGTCTTCTTAGTTAATTCCCTTAATAAAACGAAGTCCTTTTCTGTCTCCTGATTTATTGCAGTTTGAGTTCTGTCTTGTAGGAGAGCAGCACCTGCTTACTTCCTGGTCCCTCTTGCTTAGAGTCGTCTTGTTCACCACTCAAAGGTGCTTCTGATCTTTGAAGGCAAGTGAGTTTCTTGTAGGTGCAAGGAGATGAATCCTGTGTCTTTTGATTAGGGAGTTGAGGCCATTACTATTTAAAGTTATTATTGGAAGGAATATGATGCTGGGTGTGGCAGCACACACCATTAATCCTATTACTCTGGAGGCAGAGACAGGGGGTCTCTGTGAGCTCAAGGCCAGCCAGGGCTGCAGAGTGAGAACTTTCTAGACTAGAAAAGGGGCATGGAGGGAGAAAGGTATGTGTTGGTTCGGCCTGTGTGTGTGTGTGTTCTTAGTCTGATTCTGTGTTCAATAATTACACTTTTGCTTCCTTTCTATAGTGTCTTGGGTATGTTTATTCCTCTGCTCAGTTCAAAGTAGTGCTTTCAGATCCCTTGTAGAGTGGATCTGGTGGACGTGAATTTTTTTAGCCTGTTCATATCGTTTTGGAAAGTTTTTTTTTTCTCCTTCAGCTGTCAGATAGCTTTTCTAGGTACAGTAGCCTCTGCTGGTGTCTGTGATCATTCAGAGCATGAAGTATATTGCTCCAGGCCATTCTGGCTTTTAATTTTCCAATTGAGCAGTCAGTTATTTTTCTGGGTTTTCTTTATGTGTGGCTTATGGGTTTTCTCTTGCAGTTTTCAATACCCTCTCTTTGTTCTTTATTTTTAGTATTTAGCTATGCGAGGTTGTGGGGAATTCCTTTTCTAGTCCTGTCTGATTTGGTGCTCTGTGTATTTCTTGTGTTGGTGTGTGTCTGTGTGTGTGTATCTGTGTGTATATGTGTCCATATTTGTGTCTGTGTGTGTGTGTCTTGTGTCTGTGTGTGTCCATGTGTGTCCGTGTCTATGTGTCCGTGTCTGTGTGTGTATGTGTCCGTGTGTGTGTGTGTCTTTCCTTGGTTTGGAGAAGTTTTCTCCTATGATATTATTGAATATTTAGTCTATGCCATTGGCCTAGGGTTCTTCTTCATCTATGCCTATATTCCAAGATTTTTTTTCCAGCGTGTCTTGAAGTTCCTGTGTATTTCTTTTGAGTGTTTTTAAATTTGTTCATGTTCTTGGCCCGAGTCTCCTAATATCACCCCTTTGTCTTCACGTCCTGATATTCTGGCTTCTGCTCGCTTCATTCTACTTTCTCAGGCCTTCCACTGCATTTTCTAACGAGGTGAATGCATTTTTTCAATGACATCTTCACTTCAGCCTAAGTCCCTCTTTATTCACTTT